ATTCGGAATTGAATATTATTTTGCTTTATTTATTTGTTTTTTTTTTTTGCAAATATAGCTTTGAAAAGAAAAAGTATGGAAGTAGAGATGATCCGATTACTATCACGAGAAACTGATAGATGATAGGAAAATTGTAAGCACAATAAATGTCCTTTGGCAGGTCGTTGAATGCTCGAGCCAGGAGATTGCGACGAAAAGAGAGGAACAGATATTATTGCGATTGATATTGGAACAACGGCAATTAAAGTTTGCCTGTACGATTCGCGTTGCCGACTCATTAGCTATGCTAAGGAATCAGTAAGAGGAAGCTATTTATTCTTTTGAAGAATAACAATTTTTATTAAAACCTTGAAATATTTGAAATTTTAAAATGTGTTTTCGTTTTCCACTTAACATCATGTTTTCCGCTCTTAGGATTTAACGAGAAACTTAATTTAATAGCTAGAAAAATTGCTAAATGGTTGTCTAGATTATGATAGTTTTTCATAATTTTTAATTTGCCATAATTTCCGAATATATACATATATGGCTTTTTTTTTTCACTTTAGCAATTAGCTAATAAAAGACTAATTGTTGGCAAAACAGGCTGTTATGAACAAGCCCTGTCGGTTTCATTGATATGGTAGTATATCATCAGTTTTTTATTTCAGGTCACTGTCCAGTTTAAAGGTGCCAATGAAGATGGCCTTCGTGCAGAGATTGATCCTGATATTCTTTGGAATCAGTTGTTAACATTAATTTCTGAATTATGTATGGTTTGATTGAAGCTGTTCGGTTGAAGCTAATTACAGATATTCGATTGTTAGACATGTTAGACAAATAAATAACAAAATTTTTGTTATTTGCAAGTAACAAAAATTCTGTTATTTATACAATAACAAAAATATCAAAATTTTAGATAAATAACAGAAACATTTTTGATACTTGTTGGATAACAAATGTTAGACAAATAACAAAATTTTTGATACTTGCATCTTCAAAATTTTGTTAGCAAACAATGTGTCTCATGTTCATCTTATCGGTTAATCATGCATGTTTACTTTCTGTTAGCCAGTTATATCATGTGATAATCATATCGTTATCTTATCATTTTTCTATCGTTTGAGAAAAATGATATGTCTAGAAATACTAAGCTAAGTTTGCACTTCAATAATATAAACTGCATGACATTTAACCTTAGAGCGAACAGATGCTTAGCAGAAGAATCATTGATGAAATAACAGAAACTTATACATTCATAATGTGGAAGTGAAAAGAGAGGTTTTACTGGTTTTCCAACGATTTTTTCAAATAGAGTTATAAAAAGTATATGATTGCAGTGGATAAGACAAAACGTGATGCACGAGCAATAGTCGGTATGGGAATTAGCTGCCAAAGGAATACATTCATTTGTTGGAATAAGTAAGTTATTAATCTATAAAATATGATTTTGTTTATATTTTTAGATGATAAGTTTATTTCGGAGACGTATTGTTTTTTAAAGAAAATGTTTTTTTCAGAGAAATATATATTTTTCAGAGAAAATGGAGAACCATGTCATCGACTAGTTACTTGGAAAGATTGTCGTGCACGAGACGAGTGTAAAAAGTGGAACAATTCGTGGTCTTTAAAAGTATTTATCTTATTTTTAATACTAAGCTTTCTGTTTCAAACATTCTAGATGTAGCAGAATAATGTACAATAATGAAATGAATTATATGAATAAATTTATCAAGTTGCGTTGGACATATACCATCTAATCTTCAACTGTAAAATTTATTTCCAGCAAGAATTATGATTAAGCTTTTTTTATCATAAAAACCTAATTTACAGGCTATAAAATTAATTGGTTATATTTTACACAAGCTGACACGATCTGCGAGATGTATGGCTGCTCGAATATTTTCCTTTTTAAATGCAATGGTGACTCATCGTTTTTTAGTGACTCTTGCTGAAGTTAGTAAATTTTTCATACAATGATATTTCTTGAAATTTGTGTGTCATTATATAAGTGCTTAACATAGTACTTAACTGTAACAATTATTTCTATAATATTTTAGAATGAAGAAATGCAGCGATTGCTAAAACAAGAAAAACTAGGCTTCGGTTGTCTCGATACTTGGTTGATATACAAACTTTCTAGTGGTGTCGTTTATGTCAGCGAACCTTCTAATGCAAGCAGTACAGGATTATTTGACCCTTACACAGTGCGTTATTTTCTTTCTTTTGATTTTATAGCACATCTCTACTTAATTGTTTTTATTTTTATTCATTTTATATTTTTAATCAGACTGTATAAACAAGATCTGCATTGCAGAAAATTTATCACATGAAGTATTCTATCTGCTGCGATTCAAAGATATGTAAGGGAAGCCTTTAAAGGAATAAAAAACAAATTTATAATAATCCATTCCTTTCCATTTTTTCTTTATTATATTACTGTCGTAAGGGAGACAGTTGAGAATGAACGAACTTTTTGCGGATGTTGGAAATAATAAAACCAATTTTATTAATGGCTATAACAGGCTAATGCTTCAGATGGAATGGGGCTATAACTTACTGCAGTTTTTTTCCTTTCCTGCATCAGTTCTTCCACGTCTTACATTTTCTGCTGGAGTGAGGCTTGCTGTTACAGATAAAAAGCTATTTGGTGCTCCGATTATCGTAGCTGCTGCAGTAAGTATCACTGTATTTTACGCCTCACTCTTACATCCCCTTTCATTTTTGTCGTTGTCTTTTTTAGAAAATTCATTTTTGTTTACATTCACTGTTTACATTCACTAATCACATTTCGTGATAAGCATGTCTTTCTCTATATGCTTACTTTAGTGTTATTCATATAATAATGTGTTAATATTTACATGCATGTTGATGAATTTAATTCTGTCATAGAATTAGAAATTACTTATAATTATTCTCGATTTTGCTAATACAGTGATTTATTCAAAGCAGTAAGACAAGTCTTTTTTTAACAAAAAGAAGATACGATTCTATTTCTAAACAATTTTAAACCTCATATTTGAACTTTAGCGCTCGAAAAGGCATACCAAATATTGCCATAATGACCGAATCCTAATAACTGTATAATATATAACTTATATAAGGCAGGTGACCAGCAAAGTGCTCTATTTGCTTGTGGTTGTTGGATGAAAAATAGCGCTGCAATTTCACTTGGTACTGGATCCTTTGTAGACGTCAATACCGGCGCGTTACCTCATTCTTCTCTTAAAGGTGCTTCATTTTTTTTATCATTATCATCTCACTTCCTTTTCCACTCTTTTAATGTATAAAATTAATTGTTAGATATTAAGGTTTATACCCTTTGGTCGGATGGAATTTTCCGAATTCGTTGAAATTTGTCGCGGAAGGATGCTCTCAAGATACTGCAATAATTTTGCGTTGGGCAGAATCAATTGGTTTATTTGAAGATGTCGCAACTACTTCACAAATGGCTCAAAGTTGCTCGATTTCTGGTACAAAACTTGGCTTTTTTTGTATAAAAAACATGACACTACTTAGGTTATAGTATTCAGGCACTACATTTATATGATGTTTTGCATTTGACATTAACTAACGTGTTAGAGCAAAATTGACGGATGTAGGTGTTTAACATACAACGAGATGTTACAAACTAGACATTAATATTATATTTGATATTTTCAATCTTTGTTTTCGATAAGCTGCCGGTTTTCATTTTTGTTACTAATCTTACTGCTATGTTCGAGTTTTTATCTTTTTAAATTCCTGTTTTGCTAGTAAACCACATTTACAGGCTTGTACTTTATTCCGGCGTTCTTTGGTATCCAAACTCCATTAAATGACGATTCTGCTTGTTGTGGTTTCTTAGGTATCCGTCCAGACACTACTAAGAAACAGATGGTCCGTGCAATGCTTGAGTCTATTGCATTTCGAATCTATCAGATATGGAGAACGGTTACTGATGAAATTGACATTTCCTCCACAGGATTTGTTAGGTGTGTCTTTCTATCATCGTACATAATTGAATCAATTATTTTAGTTTATTCAGTTTTTGAAACGCTTTGCTGACATTAGCTAGCTGTTGTTACTAGCATTTCGTTTCTTGGATTTGAATCAGTTAGAGTAGGGTTATTAGTCTTCAGATATCTATTAGAAATATCTTTTTTATAGTTAAATAATTGCTGTTTTTCTACAGATGCTGTGGTGGTGTATCGGCAAATGACTTCATCTGCCAAACAATTAGTACTTTAATCGAACTTCCATTACAAAGAATCAATAGTCCAAGTTTTGCATCTGCGTGTGGTGTTGCTATGATGGCAGGGATTACGTGTGGTTTGTGGAAGAAGGATGATTTGGATAATTTGATCAATATTGAAAAGGTTTTTGTCCCCGATCTATCTATTCGCAAGAAATTACTGCAAGGTTTTGAAAAGTGGGAGAAAGCCATGCAGAGATGTCTCCATTTCTACGATGCTTAAGATCAAGCACATAGGTACTCATCCAATGAATCTAAAAAGAGCTTTCATTTGGTGAAAGTCTAAATATGACAGTTTTGTTTTAATTGTTTACGTTCTCTTAAACTACTTAATGTACTCATTTTTCCATATTTCCCAAAATGTATTTAAAGTTTCTAAGGTATTTGATTAGTGTTTAACAAGTTTCTCCTGGGTATTTAACTTATGGAGAATAAATTTATTTTGATTGTTATCATTGTTGTGTGATATGGAAAGAAAGCATTAGGCGAAATGAAATTTTTTGGTCGTGAAATAATTGAATCGTCGAAATTTACATAAGTTAAAGGACGGGTAAGTATGCTTTCTACTCCTAACGTTTCTTTTCCCTAAGTAATCTTGTACCAATAGCTCTTCTTAAGGTAACCTTTGTTAAGCCGATTCTTTCATAGATTCCACACACTCCATGGTGCTTTGGGTATTATATTTTTCCATATTATTCCTTTCCTTGCAAGGAAGTTTGTTACTTGTGATTCTTGCCTTTTTATGGTTTGGTAAACCAATTGGAATTGACTGGCGTTGTCCGACAGAATGAATTCGGGATACCCGCGGCGCACTACAAATCTTAGTACTGTTAGAAAACTTTCTGTCGATAGGTCGCATGCCATTTTTAAATGTGTTGCTCTGATAATAAAACAGGTGAATAGGGCGATCCATCTCTTTGCCCTTTCTAACTCTGTTTTGATGGTAACAGGTTCCAAGTAATCTAAGCCGATTCGTCCAAACGTTCTTGATCGAGTGATTCGCTCTTGTGGGTAGTTTGGCATAGGTGGCAGTTTGAATGGCTTGGTTTTCCACCGTTTACAGCCCATGCGTTGGTTTAGGACTCTCTTAACTTCTGTTCTTCCCTTTAGTATCCAATAAGTATTTCTTATTTGAGAAATTGTATAGGGAATATCTGCGTGATGCATATTTTTATGATAGTGTTGAATAATAATCTCCTGTGGTTTGGTTACGTCTTGAAAGGTATGCTGTGTAAAACGTGCAGTCGCTTTGGTCCGGAAATTGTAGCCTGCTCTTGAATTTTCAGAATCCTTGTGCATAATATAGATTGTGTTTTTTATTTCTCTACCGATAGACCTTCGGACTGAGCTTGCCTCAGTAGTAATTCTCAGTAGTAAGAGCGAATCCATAATCGTATGGCGTAATTAAGCTTCCTTCAGATTTGCTGTTTGACCATGGAAGTTCTCCTTTGTCTATTATTTAGAGAAATCTTAATGCTCTTACCGTTGTTCGTATCATTCGTGTCCATTTACTGAATCAAATCGCGTCCACTAGTCTAATTCGTGTTTCATTGATGGCATTTCCAGTTTTATTGTTGCCACCATCGTTTCGTCCTCACTTTCGTCTTTATCGTCTTCTTGTGGAATATTGTATTTCCAATGAGTCCATTTTGATTCCTCCCAAAATCCACTAACTTTTGTAGTTTGTGAATTGAGACGGTGAGATTCCTTTGGTAGCAATGTTCACGGGGTGTATTCACTTGTCACCATTCATATTTCTTCGACTCAATTTTGTACAAATCTTGGCAAAAGTCATGACTGGTTTTGTATTCGGTGAAGTACACAACGAGAGTTTGACCAGAGTACTACCTTTGCGTTCTCTTGCTCCAGTTGCTTGATGACGAATTGAGTTGCGCGCATTCCGATGGGGATGGCCGACAATTCTACTTTTGGTATTGTCATGCCATTAATAGAAGCTGTACGAGATTTAGCGAAAATTAGGGATGTTTCAGTATCTTGGTTAGCATATACTGCGGTTGCGTATGCGGAAGCTGATGTGTCAGTAAATACGTGGAAATTGATCTATTGTGTTGGGTCGACTGCATGGGATCTCCATAATTCTTGTTGACCAAGTTCTTATAAGGGCTTCTCACATTTTAGTTTGTTCCTCGTTCAAAACCTGATTCCAAGGTATATTTTTTCTCGACAGATTTTGGAGAAACAATTTGAATGGTATCATCGCTGGGATTAAGAATGCCAGTGAATCATACTGGGAGGCAATAAAGCTCAGAATAGTCCTTTTCGTTATTTCTTGTTTATTCTATGGGTTAATCAATATTTCTATAAGATCTTTGCGCAGATTCCATGTGATTCCAAGTAATTTCTTTGTCGAACTTACTTCTGCGAAATCCTGCTTTGGAATTCGTGAATTAAATTCTTCATTGTTTGAGAATTCTCTCACATTCATTGAAGCGTTGGCGAAAATTGATTTTGTTTCTGCATACTTGTTTAAGGCTTTCTTTACTTCATTGGCTGATAGGATAATGCTGTCAATGTATAAACTTTTTTTTTGATTTCGCGAGCAGTTTCAGTTCCATAGTTTTCCAAGTGATAATCGAGAGTAGCAGATAAGAGAAATGGAGATGATATTACTCCGAACGGAACCCTTGTGAGTCGATTATAGACTAGATTATCTTCACTCACCTGATCTTGAACATTTTTTAGCCAAAGAAGTCGTGTGCAGTTCCGTTCTGTAAGAAATAATTCGAACTGCAAGAAGGCCTTTTCTATACCAGCTTTTATGATATTTTCCATTGTTCGTAGACAATATTTCTAACACTTCAGCGAGAGGAATGAGTCCTCGGTATAAGACGTCATTGGCACTTTTCGATCCTTTAAAATGTGCCGAAGCATCATACGCAATTCTGAGTTTAATGGGGACTTATCTATCTTTACAACTTCGTGATAGATATTTCGGCCTTTCCTGATAGGTGCTACAAGTAAATTTTGAATGAACCTTTTTTTTTCTTCTACATTCATTATTATTTACTGCCTTGTCCTTGTAAGCTTGTCCAAATGAAACATTTTAAGTTAGGTCGTCAAATAAGAGTGTTTATATCAACTACATCTACCATAATATTTTTGAATTACATCATCTATTTTTGTAAATAAAATATTTGCACTGCAAACACTGGTTTTCCCACGTCTGTTATGCACATTGGCCAGAGGTTAGGGACATAACTATTCGCACATTTGAAATATACCGTTGATTGTTGGTTAATAAGGCTAGACATTATGTCCCTGTGATAACATAGACAATTTCACATATCTTTAGCAGATCTGATAGTTGATTTTCAGCTTTAATCTTCAAAACTTATAAAACGCATTTCTTTTGGCATGAAAATATTGCGTTAAATTATTTATTAAGCAAACTTGAATATCATATATGCATGCACAACAGTATAAAATAGTAAAAATCTCATTCATCATCGATCCAAATACTGAAAATATTCCCGTCTAAGTGATATCAGTCCTTTACCCCTAATGGGAAAGCTACAATATCGAGATAACAATAATTAATGTTCCAGCATCACTATAGGCACACACCATGGTTAGCATAAAGAATTCACTGTTGATTGCAAAAGTGTCAAAATGGACTTTTTATCTTAATCCATCAGTAGAAGAGAACAAGCCAGAATTTTATAACAGAATCTAAATTGTTATGAAAAAAACGAGAAAATTAAAAAATTACAAGAATAACCCGTATACACTCAACTTCTAAGAGGCAAATAAATTAATTGGAAGGGAAGAGAACAAAAAACAAAATCTAACCAAAGTGAAATTGGAATGAAAATGGACCACCATTTTCGCCAAACGGGAATCCACCCTGAAAGGGATGATGGAAACCTCCTTGCTGCTGTTCCGGATCCAACGGATCTTCTCCACGGTCAAATTGGGCCCTTTTTTCTGGATCAGTAAGCACCTGAAATTACACATTTAATTTCAGAGGCATCACTATGCAGCTGATATCAGCAGTACCACTGCATGATTGGAGATCACTAATAGGGCTTCAGACAGCATTTGAAGGGGCCCTTTAATCCTAGAAGATCCAAAAGAACAAACCTCTTTTGCTGCTGCAATGTCAACAAAATTCTTCTCTGCTATTTTCTTTTGATTTTCGTTACTGAAATTATCTGGATGCCACTGTTGTGCTTTCTTCCGGTATGCTTTGAGAATATCCCTTTTGTTTGCATTTCTAAAGAAATTTCTTGGAATTCCGATTAATTAAATCTGATGCAGAATGTCACTTCCCATCATAACTAAAAATTAAATTGAACTTACTCTATGTCCAAAATATCTCACGCATGTTCCTTATCATATAATTTTTTCCATTTACTACCTCAAGTTCTTCCAACAGTATAAACAGAATTATCAAGCTGTTATTATACGAAAGAAGAAAACGAAACCAAGGATTCCGGAAATTCAATTTTTCAACAGTTGCAAACCCCATCTTGCTCTTTTGCAAGAGACAAAAGGTCGCAAAGAAAATTACTTAGCAAATTGAATTTTGTGAACAGAAAAATGCTTAACCTCCTAATGCCAAGAATTTTGTAGTAGTCTTTCCTTCCAACTTGTTTTTTCAGTTTCTGTGCCCTATGAAGCCCTTCCCTAGCTCGTCGCGATTCCTCATGTCCATTTACTGCCTTCTGATAATCCTCAATCGCTGAAAAAGTAATTTTATGTTTCTTATTGTATTTTTTAAATCTTTTGCAGAAAACAAAATAATACATAATTTTGTATATTATTTATACAAACCTTCATCATACTTCTCAAGCATTAAAAACGCCTCGGCCCTATTGCAAAGTACATCGAGATCATTCGGATCACTATATTTCAGCACTTCTGAACAAGCCACTATTGATTCAGCAAAGTGTCCAGCCTAAACATAAGTTTCTGAAAACTTGTCAATACAAATCATTACGGGCCAATCCCAGAACGAAAAGCTTTCTCAAGTAAAAAACCTATATTTTCATTCAGATACGCAAAGATTTTTTTGAGAAATTATCGATTACTACTTTGCAACTATAGCCAATGCCCAACACTCTTGTTCATCCCATCCCATCAAAATACGGCAACTTTAAATATCAAAATAAAAGTTAGGTTAGCGCCAAAAGTAAAAAATCGAGTACAGAACCAAAAAACCGAATAGGCTTCGAGAAAAATCGAAAAAAGTTGCCCAATACTATTTGAATTTCCACTTTCACAAAGTTACTTTCATTACTTCTATACGTGAAAATAGTCTTAAGAAACCTAGCCATTAAAAAAGAAACAAGGAAAGAAAATGTTCTGAAAGGAGTCTTCAAAGCTTCCTCAACTTATATTTACTACAAATTGCAATTCATTTTTCATATTTTAAGAAAAAATTTTAAAGAATTCCATAACAAGTTTCGCGGACAGCAGACTGTTCTTATCTTTTATAGAATATGAAGTCAAACTCTCACTGCAGAATAGCATGTAGAAACTTATAAGCGAGGAACTTGATAGAAGTATATTTTAAGCGATAAAAGTGGCAATTGTGCTGGAATAGGAAAACTGCGATTCGTATCCGATGGAAACTAAATTCTTTCTTTTTATAATTTCTTCGAAACTAATTTTTTTTAAAAATAAAAGCCTTAAAGATCTAAACTAATAAATTAGGAACACTGAGATATCTTACATTTAGATTGCACTTGCAAGTTTGTCTGTAAACATCTAGTTGTATATTCTCCACTTCTTTTTCAACTTTCAAAATTTGCGTTGCTTTGTCCAAACAATCCATCCATCGCTCTTCTCTTATTAGTTGATTGACCGATTCACGCATTTTCGCCAATTTCTTCGTTTTTTTGTAAAAAGGAAAACATAATTCGTCATCCGGATTTAACTTTAGACATTCTCGTACTTGACTGCAACAACACCTCATTCAATATGTGCTCACTCCTTGCTAACTTAATATATATTTTTTTAATATATCGTTCCAATAAGGAATTTAAGGATATTACATAAATTTATTTGTTTTTTGTTTTGCAACAATTGATTCTAACTAGAAATATAAAAAAACAAAAGAATGTACATCACATTTCGAAAAAAATAGAGGAACAGAATATCACTAACTCTTAACCGTATCATACTAAATTAACGCCAGTTCGGTACTTAATATGATTTATTGAAAAATGCATACTTCAAAGATTCTTCGACATCACCCGTTAAATAATAAAGCTGTGAGATTGTGTAGAATGTCTCCGTGCTGTCCGGCAATAATTTCGTGATAGTTCTATAATCTGCAATTGCTTTCTGCACATCTCCAAGTTTTTCTCGGCATTTTGCACGATTCTTGTACAAATTCGCATGCCACTGACAAATCTGAATTTTTTTTAAATCTCAGGAATAAGCTCACAATATATAAGATAGTCATTACTAGTCAAAGCTTAAAATTTTTACTTTCTTCCCTCAGCCAGAAACTATTTTATTTTTCTTTTGCATAAAATAAATTAGGTAACAAGAATTTTCCTGCGCACGCCATCAAAATCAGTAAAAACTGACCAGAATTTCGGTAGGTGAAACTGGTTTAAAGTTCAAGTAATAAATCCTTAAACACTCACATGGCGGTTATAACTAATAAAAATTTGAAAGCCAAATAAAGAGAAAATCTTACTTCTATAGCATTACTATAAAGCGGTTCAGCAGAAGCAAGATCACCGACATCAAAATAATCATCAGCTTCCTCAATAATTTGTCTCACTTTTTCAATTAATATCAACTTCTTCGATACATCTGCATTTGACGGATCTGTTTTTACCTATAAGGACGGAATATATTTATTAAGATATAACAATGATTTTTTGCATCTTGTTTGAAATTTTTGAATCGGAATTGGATTACAAATTACAAAATCGGCATAAGATGCTAAACAAAGAATTAAAATCTTACAGCAGCCTCAAAATCGGCCTTTGCTTGATGTATATTTCCTTGCTTTAATAGCACATTTCCCCTTTCGATGCGAGCCTTCAATAAAAAATTGTTTAATAAAGACCATATCCCAGTTGAAAGCTTAGCTAATTTGAAATTGAAAATCTATATTTCTAAATGTAAAGGAAGGAGATTCTGTCATACTTACAGCAATAAAATCTGGTTTCAGTCTGATCACTGAATCCAGATCAGGCAGCGCTGCTTTGGATTTACCAATAGCAAGGTATACTGTTGCACGGCTATATAAAGTCTGATAATTTTCCGGATCTAAATCTGCAATATAACAAAAACGTAAGGTCTTTTTCTCTCAGACAATATATGTAAAACGACTGATAATCAAACCTAGAAATAGTGCAAAACAGGATCCTTAAATAATGTCACAACAAAAATAATCACATAATAACAAACCGATGGCGGCATGATAATGAGTTAAGGCATCGGCGAATTGACCTTTGGACAGAAACTGTCTTCCCATTTCCATATGTCTACTGACTTCCACTTGACTACAGTAAACCGCTGAAGAGCAGATTTATTTCGGCATCAAGTCCCAAAAAATATTCAAAATTTTACTACTAAAAACTGAATTTAAGCATGGTATTATGAGGATTACCTCTGAATATGAATACCATGGAAATCCATATCAGATCAGCCTGCCAACGAACAAAATCCCAGCTGGTCAATACTCTCATATATCCTTCTGCCCAGTGTAACGGCATTACGATCTGTACATATATAACAATTAGCACACACATGTCATATTATGATAACAAATATTGAAATTTAAATAAAAAATAATTTGGAACATACAGGATATTTTACAAGGACACCACCATTAGTTTTATGCTATTCTGTATCAATAATTCTCTTTCAAAACTTCAATAATGTCACAAAGGATTTCATCAAAAAATTAATGGCAAATTTATAAATTTCCTTCGCTTTATATGAAAACAACATAGGAGAGTTTAAATAAATGAAATAAGAATTCCCACATTATTCAATCATTGATAACCATCTCAACAGCTCTCCAACCAAAACAATTCAGGCGTCTGCCTTGAACTGATAATCAGTTCATAAGCAAAGTAAACTTAACAATCTTTCCACCCCAAGCCAATTCATCGAAACCAAAAGAAACCACCCGCCATCCCATCCACTTTTAAAATGCAATATACGTTATCAGTTAAGCAACGTCATCTATCGACTACCATAGGCAATGCATCTTTGCAGGACAGATTGCTAACAATTTTTTCCTGAAGAAAAGAATGGAGTGATGGATGATGGAGGGATACTCTTCGCGAGCACTTATCTTACAACAGGCAAAATAACTGTAAAATTGATGAGTTTCAATGAAGACCAGTTCAAAGTTCAAAGATTAGGTAATTTTCACTACCAACAGCTGTTGTTGGCATTGTGCCAGATCTCAGACGGATGAAATGCGCACTTTTTCACTTGTCGGTCAATTCTTGCTTTTACGTGATTGTGATTGCTTTTGACTTTGGTACCATGGATCCTGGAATAGACATCGATTTAGCAGAAATTAAGTATTTATAGTGACATCTTCAAGTATCCGTCCACTTTATTTTCACAAATTCAGTATCTAACACCACTAAGTCATGTACTCTATGTCCTCAAGTATAAGTACGTCGAATCATCGTCGAAACTTCAAACCGTCTTGTAAGGCATTCTATTAGTGAAGCACAACCGCCATAGCTGATTTATGCTCAGAAATTAGCCAGAGAATTGTAAAACAATTGGAGTAATAATGCTTACTTGATCATATCTTCCTGAGCATTATCAATCCTCTCATCTAAATCAGGTCATGAGGTTATCCTCTACTAAATTAATACAATATTAATCTACACAAGTGATTGCCATCTTTATCACTATCAATTTGGAAAAAAAATGAGGAGAAATTGAAGTGTTCATTTTAAGACTTACTTTATTTTTTGCATGCCTTATTTATTTCTCGTGAAAAATTTTTCGTTATCTGGTAGCTGTATTAATTTATTTGTGGATTAAAAATTTGTGAATTAAAAATGGATTAAACTTCGAGTAATAAAATATTCAATGTCATTTAATCCATTTTACAGATCATGGATTTTCAAAATCGTGCAGGTGGAAAAACTGGAGGCGGTGGAGTAGCATCCTGGTCTGACGCAAATGTTGATCGACGTGAAAGATTACGCCAGTTGGCATTAGAAACAATTGATCTACAAAAGGATCCATATTTTATGAAAAATCATCTGGGTGGTTATGAATGCAAACTTTGCTTGACATTACACAACAATGAGGGTAAGTTATAACTGTAAACTTTACATGAAAAATATGTGATCTGGAGATGCTGATATTCATGAACCCAGTACTTTATTTCAGTCTTGTTATTCTAATTGATATTTAAATGTTCAATTAAATATAAAAGCAGCTTCTTCCGTCCAAATTTTAACTTATTTGCTTTTATGGATTTTCTAATCTTTATGTGAATCGATTAAACTCTTGATTTCTTGTTTTGACTTTAGGCAAGATATTTTCAAAAATTTTTGAATTGAATATCACTAAGCTTTTTTTGTTGTCATGGTTTAAGTTTTTTGAGTTTTATAGTATTCTTTCAATATATTCAGAATTTTAGGTTCTTACTTAGCACATACACAAGGCAAAAAGCATCAATCGAATTTGGCTCGACGAGCTGCAAAAGAAGCAACCGACCAGCCATACATGCCTTTACCACAACAGGTCAAAGTGGAACCAAAGAAATTTGTCAAAATTGGCAGGCCTGGTTACAAGGTGTATTATTTATACCATTTTGGTGCAGAGTCTTTATTCTAGCAAAAGCTGAGTGTCTCCTTTATAAAGTTTTCCGTCTTCCAGGTAACAAAAGAGCGAGATCCCGCAACGGGCCAGCAAGCTTTGTTGTTCCAAATTGATTATCCTGAAATTACCGAAGGTGTCACTCCTAGACATCGGTAGGTCTTTATACAATAATTTCATTAATGAATTGATATCCTCTTGCGCTTAATATACAGTTGTTTTTGATTCACGAGAAATTTATTTTTTAAATACATAGGTTTATGTCAGCTTACGAACAAAAGGTGCAGCCACCTGACAAACGATGGCAGTACATTCTTTTTGCTGCTGAACCATACGAGACGATTGCTTTCAAGATACCATCGAGAGAAGTAGACAAAGCGGAGGACAAGTTTTGGACTTTGTGGAATAAAGATACTAAACAAGTGAGATTGTTTAATTATTTGATAAATTGTTTCACAAAAATGTAGAGATGCTTTTCAAATGTGATCGATGATCCAATTATTGGTTGTCGAAATTTTTTGAAGATCTTAAAAGATTAATATCAGTTAACGAATTTTCATTTAGAGTAACTACATTATTTTGAAGATAGCAATAGAATTTGATATATAGAATAGAACCATAATGGTGTATTGTTTGTTGTTGCTTGTTGATAAGAGCTCTTTATATGTTTTGAATTTCGCAGATTTGTAAACAAAAACATGTTTGTGTTTGTCGCTTGTATTTCTCATCAAAATATTATTAATAAATGAAAGTGGCAATCTTTTACAGAAAATGTGGGGAGGAAAAAAGAGCAACAAAAAATGATAAGATATGAAGCAAAGTGACTGAACAGCCTAACCTTTTTGTTTTCAATTAATGTCATCTGGTACTCGTCCACTTAAGTCATTCATTGAATTTTCATTGTTTATTACTATAATCATACTCGTTTCAGTTTTTTATGCAGTTCGCATTTCGCTTTGATCGGATGTCACAGCACGATGAAGCTCCACCTCCTCCCCCGTCTGCAGCTGCCGCTATGATACGACCATCACCGGTGCCGCCGCCTATGTTTCTACCTCCACCTTTTTAGATTCCGCATTTCGTTGAAGTTCATGTTTGTTTGTAGAGAACAGAATTTTTTAATGTTCTATTCATTCTTAAGGGTTAAGAGAAAATAAGCGATCGCTACGAACTATGGTTTTTAATTTTGCTTAATGAATTGAATGTGTTCTAAAAAATATTTAAGTTTGCCTGCGCTAAAGGAAGAAAGAGGGAGAACATATGTGAAACCAAAAAGAAGACTTATGAGACATTATTTGAATAACTGGAATAATTTTGATTTTTTCCAAACTTATGTGTTAAGCATGCAGTTTAACAGGAATGCAAATTTTCATGTTTGGAATAAAATTTATTGTGGATGCTATTGAATGTGTTATGTAGCTCAGTTTTCATTTCTGTGTTATATCATGATAAGATCATTCCTGAAAAGATAGGATGCTCTTTGAACGTGGTTTCACATTTAGTGGTTTCATATTTAATAAAGATCCGTTGGAAATGTGTCATTTTTGAGGTGAGAGGAAAATAATATTTCTGCATACATTTCCACACTTAAAAGCAACCCAATATACTGTACTCTCTAGTAAGTCTCTCCAACTCTGCCCCTTTGTAGAAGGACTATATCTCATCCCGTTCTAGTAGGCATCTCTGGAATATTTCGCGATATTTATTGCGATTTCTGTAGGGACGAGCGAGCCGTCCTTACTATCGTGCTGTGGATTCGGCAGATTTTCAGCATATGGCTATTGGTACTGATACGTCAGTGCCATTTTCACTGGGAAATATGTATGACTCAGTTTGGGGGGTTGCTGAATAGTGAACTTTACATATAATATATGTTCGATCTGTTCGGTTTTTCTGCTTAAAGCTGGAGAATTTCTGGTCCTATTAATTATATTGGGAAGAGGTTATCAATAAGTTGGTGTCCTGGCAAGTTGTAAATTCTCCCGTGGTAAGTTGGTGTGTGTGGGTTATCCCTTGGAAGATAAGCACGCAGCAACGAATTTTGTTACTTACTCACTGTCGTGTACACATACACGACAGGGTGTACATTAATAGGCTAAAATATCGCTTGGTCCAAAAAGCTGCATGTATAGTTATTTAGACATTTTAGGACATACTTATCGACAGCCTCGTTTTCATCCATCCATTTCTTTATGCTCAATTTCTGGAATCATTTACACGAAGCTGAGGATCTTTGGAGTTTCTCCTCAAATGCAATCTGTCATTTAGTGATATTCTTACTGTTTCAGATTTGAAGTTCTGGGAAGTTTTGATATGACGATGAGCATGGCATCAATGTTTTTCTTGATTTTTGGTATGAGTCCATTTTTTTAAATTCTTCATTTCTCTGATTGTTTTCAGCTGAAAATAAGTTATATACTTATTAGTGTGTTAACCATGTGAATTTGTAGTCCGAAAAAGTACGATTTATATCTGAAGTATTATCTAGTCATCATGAAAATATTTGAATTTTTTGGAATATTTTTTCGAGTCATTCATGGAGATTTAAACACATTATCCTTTTGTAATTCTGCCTTTTGTAATTCTTCATTTGCAGCAATATATGTTCCAATCATCGCATGTGATCACTACTTCGTCAGAGGCAAAGACAGGAGCACATGCATCATTTTGGATTCAAATATTACTGGCGTCTTGCATTACACAAAAGTTTGATTAATTCTTCGTATTTTGCTTGAAGCTCAAATAGCATGTGCTATGTTTTTGCTAGGGATCTCATTTTATTTTAATTTTGATCGTTTTCAACTGAAACGAAAGTTTGGATATTTATTCATATATTAGTGATGTGCATTTATAGTCCGACAATAGCACAGAGCAATTTAAATTCAACATCAGTGGGGTCGCAAATGGATCGTGCGAAGGAACACAAAATATTTATATAAGGTTTTCTTCCAAAATTTCTCATGCTTTTACGGTAGTAGCATATTATTTATTTCAGGGGTAAAATTAACTTAAGCTTTTCTGTGGAACATATCATAAACAAGCATTATTTGTTCTCTTTGATTTATGAAATATCTTTAAACTTATGTCTTTAAATTTATTACAACATCTATTCAGTCCTCCAGTTGTCGATTTTTTTTACGTTTTGCATTTGATTTTTTTTATTTCTTTGCTGTCACGTATTTTTATAATAAGAAAGATGCATTGTTTCAAGTTTGTAAAGGAAATTAGTTATTACATTGCTTCCGCAAAGAAATCAATGTTAAAATAACTTTTTGCAGCTTTAATAGTCCTCTTGGTCTGAAGAATTCAACATTAGCAATCTATTTCAAAAAAAGAGAGGATTCGTTCCAGATCAGTAATTTCACGTTGGCAGTGAACTTCGAACAAAAACTGAATGCGACAGGTGTATTTTCCGTGCTAGATAAAAAGTTTAGGTCTAATTGAGATAACTATACTTTTAGGAGGAAAAAAATCATGATGATATTCGAACATGAGGTCACATATTTTTGAGGTTAGATGTCACAAAATTGGCATTGAATGAAGTTAAATTATAAGTAATTAATGATATAAATGTTGGATCTTGGTTCAAAACTTGCGCTCTACATAACATTTATAGAATCACATCACATGTATTTGATGGATGAGCATGCGGAGCATGACGTAACTTCCAGCGGTAGCGAAGCATACAAGTGTTCTGAAGCAATTCTTAGCTTCAGAGGAGGTTCTACAATAAATCTTCATAATATACGGCTCATTGCTTATGTTCATCTCAATACTACGGAATTTTCCGAAAACCAAGGTATGTTTTACAGAAGTAAATTTCCAGTTTCACTCCTCATAAGACAGCTTATTCACTGGTCAGCATGCAAATGTTCTGAAGCAGTGCTTCTTTAAAGTTCATATGTCTCCGCCTATCATTTTCAGCCTTCTATAGCATTTGAGAGATTGGGGTAAAAGTGTATGTAAGATGACCAAGCAATCATCAAATTGAATAATTGAATAATCGTTGTAGAATATGGCATTTGTCAATTGGATGTTCGTACCTCCGATTTGGTACCAATCGTTGTTGGAGTATGCCTTGCAGCATTGGTGATCATTGTTTTAATTGCATATTTGGTTGGCCGTGCTCGAGCGAAACGTCAGGGTTATGCGTCAGTGTGAATTTCAAATCTTCCACTTTCATTCATGTATGTTATTTGTTGCGAATTCTATTTCGCTAAATATTTATTTAGGCATTGGCCTTTAATTCATTTGTATAGAATTTAACATTTCTTCTCCGGAATTCTGTTTATAAATCTTTCTCCTATACGAATGTACTCTTTTTTCTTCCTACGAGATGCTTTTTTTTTCTTTGTTCCTTGCATTTCTGAAAAGTATATTTCAATCTCGATATGTGAATTTTGAGAAGTTATATTTTTTAACTGTTGTACTGTTGCCTTATTAATGAAGAAATGAGATTTTAAACAGTTTTAAATTACATTTGTAAAACCATACATTCAGATACATCACGTAAAAGGCACTCTCTCTCTCTCTGCTTTATCGTTTTAGTAATATTTTGTGCTCTTCTGATGCGAAAAATAAGCTGAACGCAGAACAGTTTCGTGATGAAATTATTACAGAACATATCTTTGTGTGTTCATTGTTTTTAAGATAATATTAAGTGAGGCACTCCAATGTGCTTATAAAGCAGCAAAGTCAATTTTACTTGGGACTGCTAACAGTGATAAGGATGGAAATTCATTATGACGAAGAAGCAATTTTACTTTATTATCTATAACATTTTTGCTCATTGCGCTGCAAAATGTTTTTTGCTGCATGTACACGGACATCAGATATTCATAGATGTCATTTTTCCTTCATATGTTATAAGGCAGAGTTTGACTACTACTATTATCTATTTTTTGGAGTTACTGATAATTAAAAGTCTCGAAAATTACGTATTATATACTTTTAATCTTCGTATAAAGTATTTTTATAAGTTTAACATGTCAAGTATATTGGAAGGCAGTTTACGGAACCACTGCTTTTTTGACAATCGTTGCAATGATTTCTGTGCTTTTGATAATTTTATTAAGCAAATAAGCGGATCAAAACTAATTTATCTATCTTCATCTTTTAGCTCTGACATTCGACCATGTTTGGCATGCAGTTGTCTACCATCAAAATTGACTGGTTCTGGCTTCTGAAAGATGATCTTAACTTTATAAATTTTTTTTGCATTAAATATTGTATGAGCCATCGTTCTTTAAGTTTGAAACGGAGCTTTGACGACATTTTGAAATGTTGCAACTATCAACAAGGAAGTATTGTTTGATGTACATTGGATTTGTTGTAGTCTATTTATGTTATTTTTTAAGAGCTACTGATTTCATCAAAGAGGTCCGAGCTCGGAGAGAATAAAGAAGTCTGGACAAATAAGTTGCAACAGAGTTCATAGTTTCAAAGAATTTGCAGTCAAATTTATAATATACTTTATACATCGATACTCACCGTGTATTGGATCTTTCTGTGGTAACTTGCCTCTTCTATAGGTATTTAAAGTTTTGGACTCCGTTCAATGTTAGTTAATCAAATTTCCAATTTTTTAGGATGATCCCATACAGGGTACAAGCAGCTGAAGCGTTTTTAAGGAAGTGTCGATTCTGTTTATTTCTGGATTCGGTCAAGGCTTCAGGATGTACGCAAGTGGACACACATGTAAGTGTGAATGAGCGAGACGTGATTCGTTTTGAAACTGGACATATAGCCCGATTAGCTGATGGTGCTGCTGTTGTTTCGCAAGGTGACACTTCTGTAAGTTTTAGTTTCGCAAAAAATTTAGGAATGAAGTGATGCACCACTTAGTTGCATCTTTTTAGGTATTAGAATTATTGCATAATCAAGTGTGCCGTCTTTAAGTACTATATATATGCGTCTACTTATACTGATATTTCGTGAATAATATTTACTTAATAAATTCCATTCACTATCCATTATCATTTTGAATTTTATTTAGAAATTAAACACATTTTCTTCTTGGTTTCATTGCAAATTTTGGTGATCTAGTATAATTGCGATGAAATAAATCAGGTACTAGCTACTGTGGTCGGAAGACAAAACTCAGTTAGCGATATAGCAGATTTTATGCCTCTGACGGTTGACTTTCAACAGAGCGCATCTGCTGTTGGTCGTATTCCTACAAATTATTTACGAAAGGAGTTGCAGCGAAATGATGCTGACATTCTCGCATCTAGAATGATTGATCGATCAATCAGACCTTTGTTTCCAAAAGATTATTCCGGCGAAACTCAGGTAAGGAATTTCTTTTCCTAGATTTTAAATTTATTCCGATTTCATTTTAGACGAGGATATATAGACGATGATATTCTGATTGAATCATGTTTTCTTTGCTATATTGTAAAATTAAAACGGTTTTAGTGTCTCGGAAATAATTTTCTGATAGCTGCTATTATTATTTTTTTAGAATTGCATACTTGGAGGATATATGATTAGTCATTCATAAAATAATTATTTAGTTGTATTTCAGATAATATGTAAACCTCTTGCGGTAGACGATGATGGAGATCCAGTAATTCTAGGGTTAAATGCAGCTTCGGCAGCGCTAACTGTATCAGATGTACCGTGGGAAGGACCGCTAGGAGCTGTTAGAGTGGCTCTTATTGATAATGAGGTATCTAACAATTCTTTGTGGTGGTATGCTTTTATGATACCAGGTTTCATTATATTTTGTAATAATTATAATGAGGTACCTAACGGTTCTCATTGTAATGAGGTATCTAACAGTATGTTGTATAATGATTTTAATACTTTAAGTAATCTAAAGCGAAGCACCAGGCTGGACTTAATTTAGAAAGATTTCAGAACTAAATTTTAATTATATAAAAATTAATCAAATAACTTCAGATTGTTATTAACCCAAGTCGAAAAAACATGAAAAGCTCTTCACTGGATCTAGTTATTGCTGGTTGCGACGATGGGAAACGAATATTAATGATAGATATGGATGGCTGCGAAATTGAAGCAACAAAGTTTTCGGAGTGTGTTAGAACTGGTCTTGAAGCCATTTCTCATTTAATTCACGCCATTAATAAAATGAGGGATTCATGCGGTCGTCAAAAACGGCAGGTAACTCATTTTGTTAAAGACCCTTTTGCTTGACAGTTGATTTGCTTTATCTTTCGCTAATATAGTACTAAGAATTTAGTGAGTGAATAATACACTGGGCAGCGATATAACTGTAGCTTGTGTACCTATCAAATAGCAAGACCATTCTAGTTGTTAAATGTATAAGGAACATTATAAAATAGAGTTTAACATGATGCAAATGTAAGACATTTTCTTTTCTTCGCTGTTTGATCGCTTAAGGTTTTTTGTTTTAGAATATTGATGGAGAGATTGATAGTGATATGATGGCATTAATGAAAGAAATGCAAGTCTTATGTGGCGATCAGTTATATGATATTTTAACGGATATAAAGCATGACAAGCTTTCACGAGATCGAGCTATTTCTGCACTTAGTGATCATATGCTTGAAAAGCTCAAAGAAAGGAGCTGTTCGCAGAAGCTTCGTCATACCTTTAAGAATCTCCTTAGAAAGTCACTGAGGTATCTATATCTTAGCTTTTCTAACAAAATTGATCACATATTCATTTTATTTATTTTATTTTGAATTGATTCATAATTATAAGAGACCATAGAGAATGAAAAACATGAGCAACACCAATGGAGCCTTCCATTCTATAATTGAGGATTCGTGTTTTTGCTTCAAGAAGTTATGACTCGCAATGTTAAGAGGAAATTGAGCAAGAGAAATTCAAATCATTATGAGACATTATTAATAAAGATTTTTTTATTTGAAAAGCTTATTATATTGAAAATTTTAATCTCATGTTTAAAAAATTTTCACTTTTAAATCGTTCTAAAATAGTTCTACAGAGAAGCGTTTTTCAAAAGTGAAAGGCGGTGCGATGGGCGAAAATCTGATGAACTTCGTCCAGTGGATATAACAATGGATGTCCATAAAAAATTGCATGGATCGGCATTGTTCCAGCGCGGTCAGACCCAGGTTCATTTTCTATCTATAAATAATAGTTTGAATTCACATGCAAAAAAAGAGACACTATGAATGAAGTTATTTGGAATCTCTCAATATGTTCTTAATATATTAAATATGTATTCTAATTTTGATATGATTAATACAACTATAAATTTCAGGTATTTGGTACAGTGACCTTTGATGCTCCATCAGCTGCATTTCAACCAGATGCGCTGTCACAACTACTTGGTGCGCAACAGAGAAAAATGTTCATGTTGCATTATCAATTCCCATCTTTTGCTACTACTGCTATTTCTTCCTCCGCACGAACTTCACGCAGAGAGCTAGGACATAGTGCTCTCGCTGAGAAAGCTCTGAAAAGGCTTATTCCAGACGACTTCCCTTATTGCTTAAGGCTTGCCTGTGATGTTCGTGCAGGTTTTCTCTCTTTTTATGTGAAATGGGATTTAAATTTTTATTTATGCTCGGGAAATTAGAAGGTGTAGCAAAGTCATGATGATGATTTAACGAGGGATATTGAAGTGATAATGATGCTATGATGAAAGTGGTGATAATTTTAGGCGACTATTCGCATGTTTGTTGTTACAAGTAGCTTGTATAATAACCATTCATTTTTAGGTCCTCGAATCAAATGGTTCATCTTCGATGGCATCAGTTTGTGTCGGTAGTTTAGCGCTTCTTGATGCAGGAGTACAAATAAGGGAACCCGCAGCCGGTATAGCTATGGGTTTGATTATTGATGAAGAACGAAATAATTATTGTATTCTGACCGATATTAATGGTCTAGAAGATTTTGCTGGTGATATGGATTTCAAGGTAGCAGGCAAGTTTTTATTACAGGAGATTACAATACAGTTAGTAATGCTTAAGGACGGAAAATATCATTCATTGGCAGTTATATTTATATAAAATCGTAATTTGCTGTTTCATTGATTTCGTGACTTGAAATGGAGATGTCTTTAGAAATTTATTTACCACCAAGCTGAGCTTAAACTGAAATCTGCGCAAATTTATCCTCATACTTTTTTTTCTTTAAGGAACAGTTCGCGGTTATACGGCGATGCAACTGGATTTGAAAGTGCCAGGCATAAAGCCAGAAATGCTTATGGAGTCTTTAGAACGAGCAAGAGATGGACTAGAACATCTTTTGCAGCTAATGAGCAAGGCACAACCTCGATGGAGAAATCATTTTAAAAATACGGTTCCGGTTCATGAGACGATACCTGTTGCAGTCTATAAACGCCACATCATATTTCGTAGTGGAGGCTATAATGCTAAGCTGATTGAATCAGAAACCGGTGCTAAGGTCACTTTGTTTTACAGTAGCTACTTTCCTACTATATTAGTAATGCAAAAAACTGTAATATAAACAAAAGGAATAAAGATTTTATACCATTCTACTTAAAGCAAAATTGATGCCCTAGCTCCACAAAAGTGTTTTATTTAGAATAACTGCAGGAACATTGTAAATTGGAATTTTTATAGATAAGCATAGAAGATGATTCAAACATATCTATCTTTGCACCTAACAAGGTAAAGCTGGAAGAAGCAAAAGTGATGCTGAATAAGTAAGTTGGGATAAAACCTAAATTATGTGTATGAAATGTTTTTTTATACATGTTGAAGTTTTTAGCCAGCGCAGCTAAATACGTCGCTTCATTATTTTTATTTGTCTTAGCAAGATTTATTTAGTCGAGTCCGCCTGATGTTTCATTTATATAGAGTTGATGCTTTTCAGAATATTCGAGAGTGAAAGCGAAATAGAACTGGTATTTGGTGCAATGTACAAGGCGGAAATAATAGACATATTAGAACATGGCGTGTTGGTAACACTTTACAAGGGCATGAAACCTATTTTGCTGAAAAACAGGTTTGTTAACAAATGAAATTATTCTGGAATTGTTTTCCGAATCCTTACAAGAAGCTCGTTAGCCGATATATATATTAGCTACATATATATTAGTCGTGTATATATTATATATATATTAGCCGATCGATGCTTCATTTTTCATTCTTTTTGTACATTAATTTAGAAATATCATTCCTCTCTATTTGAATGCATATTAGGATTTATGACGACAGAGTTTGATGAAAATTTTACCACCTTACAGCAATTTGGATACGAGGAACGTAGCTCATCCCAAAGTACTTGGTTTCAAGATTGGTCAAAAAATAATTGTTCAGTATCTAGGACGAGATCCAAACACTGGGTATCACAGAATATCAAGGAAAACGTTGCAGTCTGCTTCCTTACCTGTTCAAAATGCGCACCATGACACTTAGCTATTTGTTAATTGTAGGCTTCGAATTGTCTGAAAATGTAATAAAATGATATTCTACAAAAGATAAAATAAATTAATAATGGTCTGTTCCAGTCTTCAAAAAAAAGTGTCCTGATCGCTCGTGACTATGATTTTATTTCTTTATAATCAAGAACTTTGTCAGTATTTTAAAAAGTGAGTGAATGACTCATCACGACATTATATTGTTATTTCCTATACAAAAACTCATTGCTTTAATAATGTATTAATGTGTCATTTAAATGATCACGCAAATCGAGTTAAAAAAGGAGATAAATTGTGCAAAATATTGAAGTGAAATTCTTCAAAACTATTGAATATATTACGGAATATAAAAGTATGCGTTCTTGAACAGTTATCTTAAAATTTTTTTTTCATTACAAATTTAAATGGTGAAAACATTGCCAACTAACAGATTGAACGCGTATTATTAACTCTATGCAAATGCAATATTACCACGAACCAGCGTTAAGCATTCAGTCATCTCCCTTAATTTTCTAACTTTACTCATTTAAGTTGTATTCGACGGGACAATTACTATTGCTTACGAAGCTTTTTCTTGGAATTGGCAGTAAGTGAAAACGGTAATATAATAGTATCAGCTGGAGTAGGAGTTATTCATTCAATTCATTTGTCAAAATTTTGTTCCTCTCCCTTCTTGAATGGTTACAAACATTTTTACACTTATAAGATGTGAGTTTTTGTCATATTGGTCACATCCTGTATAAACTTTATTGTAACAAATCAAAGATGAAAAGTAAATGTTTAACTCAGTTTGGATCGTTGAGTCAAATCACGAAAATGAATTCTCATCTTTTCAAACTATTCATTCATCTAAAAATCATGCCACAAATGTTTATGTCCTAATAGAATAAGTACTTCAATATCACTGCCATAGGATATGCAAAGTTGTCAATTCCTTTTTGGCATGTTTTGTCAAAAGTTTCTTTACAACGTATCAGTTTCAGAAAAATTAGCAGAATTTTAATTAATTAAGAAGATTAGAAATTTAACCACACGAGTCATTTCAGACTGATACTGAATGTAAGCATCTCATAAAGTACCGCAAATTTGAATCAGTAATTCGACTAAAGCAAAATCATTCACTTACCCTTTCCTGCAACTTGAAATTTCATGACGACAATCTCAAAGTGTCATATGTCAAGCAGCTTAATGCTTAAAATGGTGATGTGGGAGTTTCAAATATTTTGTTGCTGTTCCTGATAATTTGATGATTTCAGTTTCAGATGGTACAGGAGGAGGAAGCAACGAAGGAACCACATCCACCTGGTGTTCCAACTGCGCACATCTTACAAAAGTTTTCTGATGCCCTTTCTTCCTTCACTGTACCTGATGAGGTTTATTTATAGATTTGGATGATAGTAAAAAATAGATTATTCTTTTAAAATTCGGCAAATTAATGTCACTGTACTAGTTAATCTTATTGTCAGAGACCGAAAATAAGAGGCCATTAATTGTTTCCCGTCACATAATGTGAACCCTTCAGTTTGGTTATTTTTAATCATATTGCAGAAAATTTTGGAGAGGACTTCCAAAGGGTTTTCAAAGTTTCCAGTGCAAGAAATTGATGAATATTTCGAGCTTGTTGCTAAACTTGGTCGACCACTTTTTAAATGGGATATAATACGATGTGCTTTTCTTTGGAAGCTCGAAGTAGTTCCTTATATACATTAAATTTGTTTGCTAATCTTTGTACGACAATTCAGTGATAGGATATTTTCTAACTTTTATAAACCAAAATACATATAATTTGTTTTATAAAACATCTTATAAATTTTCTAACTTTTATTGACCATATTACTGCTCAGACAATGTCTATCCCATTATTCTGTGCCTACTTTTGTAAATTTATCAAGAAAAATTCTTCATTAAGAAAATCATCGTTCTGTTAACATTGTGCTTTATAATATACTGTTATCAGTATTTTCGTTTTTAGCAAACAATGTCAGAAATGCTGTCCATCGAGGTAGAAAATGCAGTTACGGAAGATGATAAAAAAATGCTCATCTCAGATGATGAACTGTGTCTGCAACGCCAATTTATCTTGCAAAAGGCTGCCGAATTTGATGGAACACCTTTTACTTTTCAGAGGTGGCTTCATTTTGTATATCTTCCTCACCATGCTCTTTTTTTCATAACTTTACCCTATATTTTTATCATAGGATCACAGTAATTTTTTATTGTTGGCAAGAGCTAACCGTAAGTAGCAAGAAGTTTCTGTAAATGAAGTCGTTGCAAAAAGTTAATTCAAGGCTGTGTGAACTTCTGATTAGTCCCTCTCGACATTACAAACGAACAGACAAGTATCTTCGAGCTTTGGAAAAGAATATCAATGTGGTAACGACAATTACGGAGAATGGAGAACGAGTAACAGGAGTAGAGCCATTTCCGGGAGAGCTAGACATTAGTCCCACGCTTCGCATTGAAGAGCCGTTCTTTGTCCAAGTATATGCTATTACAGTTTGTTAAACGCTTCAATATATCTTCATCTTTTTATGCAAAGTCTATTGATTCATTGATCGACATGAGATTTATGCTCAATTTTTCATTGATTTTTCAATAATCCATTTTTCTTGTCGAACCAAATAATGGATATTGAAATTTTAAATCAAGATTGCTTATTACAGGTGGATGAATGTGATGCGCCAATAGAAACGAAATTGACTACTGCTGGAGAATATTTTAGCAGAGTACTTATTTAATTTATAGAATTCCTCTTTCTGTTTAATGATGTGCTGGTGCTTTTTTCGTCTTCGTGGGTACGAAATAGAACTTTGGATGGAGCGGATTAAGTGCTATAGTTCTGAATTACGACTTTGTCGTAATTCAAAGCTGCACATTTCAATTTTTTTTAATTATTCGTTAGGGAACGGACATTAGTTTCTTTGATAATAATCTTGTGTTTTTAATTCCCCCAAGTTTGGACAAGAAATACTTTATTTGCTACTGTTTTAATTCATAAATTTGCCAAGTTAATAAAATTCAAGGTGCATAAGGAGCATTTAAATCAAATTATAAAAAATGATATTATTTTATTAGAATTATAAAACGAGAACTAGTATACTTTAATTTTGAAGACTTTATTATCAGTGAATGATTTGAAATTAGCAGTTGCAATCGCAAACTTTAGTGGGAAGAGGAGGGAAAGATGCTTCATTATACTCAAAAAAGTATGTCAATAAACTAACATAAAGGTTATTGGCATACTTTTCAGGCAATGTTTTAATGATCCTGTTGATTTTTTGGCGAAATATTTACTTCTATTCTTATAAGGAAATTAGTAATTTTAAGGGAAACGGATCTCCAGAAACAGTTAGAAAAGAACTAGCAATTGGAGATTGTACTCCAATCAACTTGTCTCCGTCACGCGATGCTAAGGATGAGCTACCTGAAATTAAAGTAAATAGTTGTTTTTATTTAAATTTTTTCTCAGAAAGAATAAAATTTAGATCGTAGTTGGTCAACAGAATTTTTTTTGTTGTTCGTTAGAGAACGGATATCAGCTTTTTTATAATAATTTGTTTTTAATTCCTCCCAGTTTGGGTAAGAAATACTTCATTTGCTATTGTTTTAATTCACAAATTTCTTAAATTAATAAAGTTCAGAGTGACATAAGAAACAAATCAAATTATAAAAAATGATATCATTTTATTACCATCATTTTTACTCAAGATTTGTAAAATGATATCATTTTCTACTCAAGATTTATAGCTTATAATCTATGTTACTGCAGAAATAAGTGTGTAACCACAAGTTGGTTTTATCCCACAGTGGTCCATTAATGTCGTTAATATGTGCTAAGTCTTGATTAAAGATTTATGAATTCTGGCTTCTCCAGATTTCTTCCTTATTTCTTAAGCAGAAATTATATATATAATTTCAATATTTTTAGATCAGATATATAATTTTGATCACATATTGTATATATTGCATTGCATTTTAATGCTCTATCCCAAGATTTTTCATTTAGAAATCTGAATAATTCTCTGAGATGGCATTTATAAAGACTAATAAAGTGGTCATCGTGATCTAATATAGTGAAATTTTTTTCTTGAAAGTTGTCATTCGATGGCCCAATATTCCTAACGCACTGCTAGGCTAAAAGAAGCACTTATATTAAAATGGATTTCATATATCGAAATACGATTGCAGTTTGTTAAATGAAATTGATTTTAGGAAGAAAAGGATAACTAGTCATTTGTTTAAAAAGATCTTGAAAATTTCTTATCGTTTGCTGTTTTAGTACAATACGTACGTTGCTTTTTTTTTCAAATAGTTTTATTTATGGCATTGTGAATCTTGCGCATTTAACGTGTTTGTTTACAGCAAGAGAATTATTCAAAGCACAAAGCAGAACGAGGCAGCATACTAACTGAGTCATTGGCAAAACCGGAACTGCAAAATGTCAAATCAGAAGAGATGAAGAACGGGGACTAACACTTGCTGCGGTTATATCCTTTGAGAAGGTCTAAAATATATTGTATTATTTGACGGCCACTGATCGTATTTAGCGGCACAGCTTACGGTTCTATTAAATGAACTATATGTAAATGTCTGCATGTCACGTCTCAGAACGTTATCCTGCGTGTGGAGCAAGTGGACCGTTTTGCTTATATGATCATTTTCCGTTTCGGAGAAATACATTTGGAATATGCCTTGTTTATCAGAGACACATCCATATTTTGATCGCAGCTTATGGCTGATTTATTGCATTGTTGGAAGGTTTTGTTAAGTAAACTGTTTATTAAGCGATGGCTTTCATTGCGGAGACTAATTTATTGCTTTTTGAAGAATAGGTTTCGTTGCAGAGACCATCACTTCCCTGTACCGCCAACAGAATCACTTTACGCTTTTATTTTGCTGATGCCGTTCCACTCGTTTATAGCAAGCGGAAAGATATCCATCAAAGACAAAAAAAGCATAGTTCACGAAAGTGGAAAGTACTCGTATGATGACTTCACTGAATGACGACTATGAAATGATGAAACTTTACAGTGATAAATTTAAACCAAACTATTTCCTAGAAAAGAATAATGCAAGCTCCCATGTCTTGGGAGATGTTGTTGCATATTCTCACTGCACCACGAATCTTCATTTCGAATCATGGACATGTATGTTACAACGTTAGAAGGAACTAACCCTTAGAAACCTGAGACATGATTCAGTAACAATAATAGTTTAGCAGCTAAGTTAATCCTTGTTATTAGAACTCAATCAGGAAATAAAACGCATCAAACATATATGTAGGGTATATATGAGGACCGAAAGAATCATATATAGATTCTCTAATGGCAGATCAAATAGAATGTCTACATTAGATTCAGGGCCACAACATCACTTTCTCTTATTTTGCCGTTAAACTGCGCTATTAACAATATATTCATGACTCATGAACAGAAATGAAACACGTTTTGTAGTTTTCTTGCTAAATGTTATTGTTTTTAGCGGCAAAATTGAAAGTATCCGGTACCGGTGCATCCACATTAAAGGCATATCCTCCCTGCTGCTCCACTTTTCTACTCTTCGCCAACGACATTCGCTGTTCACACACCCGCAGTACTCCGTCCAGTATTACTTGTTTTTCCGTATTACTACATGTTGTCATAGAGAGGAGAAGTTTCTCATTACTTGTCCTCAGTGCTAAAATTTGAGAATTATACTTATCGGTATTTTTGGGAAATGACTATTAATTTTCAATGACTAAACTCTTAAATTTTCTAACAACTACTCTGCGGAAGGTTATCAAAAAAGTTCCTGGTTCAACACCCATCTATAAAAACAAATTGTTCAAACGAAAGAAAAAATTTCCGCGCAAACTTATAACAGTAGATGATATGGAATAAATACACCTGATATAAATAATGCCATTTCAATATTGTAGACTGCCACAAAGATCGATATATTCATACAACGTATTGCTATAGAAAAAAGAGAAAACAAAACAAACCATCAAGTGTTTCCTTATAAAAAATAAAAACGTCGGCAGTTTCATCATTATCGAGAGGAGTAAAATATGCTTCCATGGAATCTTCATCCCAGCTATCTGATATTGATGTTGAACCTGATTCGAACGCTTGTGCGTCACTTCCCTTTTAAATATAAGTGCTGATTCCAGTGCACATCACAAATTAGACTTTTTAAAAAGATATGCTATAAGTACAAGAAAATTATGCTACCACCTTCACCCATTTTGATGTTCATAAATCATACTTTTGATGACTTGTAACAGAGGTCTTGCCCTTTTCAAGTGATTAGATCTATCAATAAATTCCTGACTCCATTTACCGCGACTAAAAAGTTAACATACTCTTTCTTTCTTATTCTGATGTTCCGCCAGAGTTTCTAGATATTCAAGAACATCTTCATCTATCTCATCCTCGCTATCTGCCAAGTCTTCATCCCTCCCAATTTCCTCCTGCAAATACTATTACATAATAAGCAACATTGTTGGTTCACTATTTTACCTATTTTTTCACGAAGTTAAATCCATTTCGGCACTCTAAAAACTTAAATCTGCGATTCTATGTTTAAATAAACAGTGATTCTATGCTTAAATAAATCATCGCAATGAGTACCTCGGCTTCTTTATCATCAGATTCCTTTTCGTTGGCCAAACGATTTTCTGCTTTCACTTTCATTGCCTTCTGAAGCCCCATCAAAAGCGAAACAAGTAAGTCATTGATCTGTAATTGAATTTGGCTTGAAATCTCATTACATAAGACAAATACGACTTCTATATTCATAATCTTAAAACTCCACTTCCCAAGCCCATAGCAGCTGTATCTTCCTTACATACGAAAAACGGGTTACCTGCTGCGCTTTTTCGTCAATTAGAGTAGGTCTATGGAGAGCAGACAGTCTTGCCATAGTACATAAACCTATTACAGCCATTTTACGATCGTGAACACCTTCTAAACAGTGTGCTAGTGATAAAAGCTCGTTGACCAAGTAATTTAACGTATTAGTTCCGTGAGGTTGCAGTTGAGGTAACAAGTTCACAAACATATCTGTATCGTAATACAAACCGGCTATCACAACCTGAAACGCTCACTTTTGCTTATATAACTTTCAGCAGTACATACAAATTAGTACTAAGACAAAGATATAACTAACCAAAAGAAGTGCGGGTTTCAAAGTTTTGCAGTCCTCAATTGGCTGGTGTAATCGAGTAAGAATTAACTGGATGAGATCTGGTACTAAATTGTTGATTTTACCCTGGAAATGGTTGTTATACTTGAAACCTCAAAAACTCAGAACCAGGATAAAAAGACTTGAACTTCTAAGTTTCTTCCTCTTCCCTTTTCCAATAATAATAACCTAAAGCATACCTGACATTCGAGAATAAGGCACTCGAGCAGCTTAGCTGCATGTACCTGGTCAGTTTCCTCCATATCTTCACTAAACATATTCACAGCAATTTCAACGAAAGCTCTGAGACGTTCTGGACGAGCCAGAAAACCATCGGTATCCACTGTCAAATATGAATGCAGTACAGGCATGACATCTAAAAAAAAATTGTTTTATATTACAGACTTGTAGAAAAATTTAAATGCAACTCTTTTTCATTCTTAAATCACTATGATCGTTCAAGCAATAGTAGGTTAACTTCAACTTCGTAGTTAAATCGCCGAAACCAGAAAATTTGAAAAGTAATGACTGGATGAAACCGAAAAATAATTATTTGAAAAAGGAATTTGCGTGCAAATTTATCAACAAACATATATTCGTTTTTATTTGACTTGTAATTCTATTGATGATGAATGAAAAATAATGATTAATACTTGCCGGAAAAGACTATTCCCTCCAGGTTGATTGCCAACTTGTGAATATCGAAAAATATTTCCCACATTGGTTCACTTATAGAATATGTAATCACCGAATTTGTTAGCGTCAAAATTTCTTCATAGTAATCTGCAAGAAAATAGCAACTATATTTTGAGATTTTAATAATACAGTAATTTCATTAGCCATCGATCCTTCTTCACATTCCCCTTTCGAGGCATTAGTAAATATAACAATTAAGAATTGCCTTTTTTGTTAACACAGAAAAACCTAGCAATATAAAAAGATATGACATTCTGTTTATTGATTGTTCGAAGCCTTAAACTTTTAAGGAAGAAGGAAAGTTTGCTAATTCTTCAAGAGGCAACAATTATAGCCTTCAGTATACAGTAAAAAAAAGGTAACCGATCTGCTCGCGGTCCAGAACAGATTTAATCACCCTACGCACTTGTTCTTCGATATGATAAAGTACATCTTGATTGTCTTCCACCATATCCAACACTGATCCCAAGGTAGTCAAAATGCCCATAATAGTTACTGTACGATCATCTTCCCGATTTTCCGATAAAGAAAGTTGCAAAAAAATGTTTGCCTAAAAGTAATTAATATTTAAAATATCAGAAAAACTCTGAAGATTACTGCTCTTATTTTTGCTTATTATTCATAAAAGACTACATTACTATTAATGAACAGTCTGCATAATATTTCGCTGTATTTCTTGAAATTCAAAATAATTTAAATTTGGATCATTTTGATTAAGTTAACTGTAATGCACTGCCATTAAACTTATAATGCACTGAAGAACACCACTGTTTATCATTATGAATTAAGCGATACGATTTCGCAATACAGAAAATTGTATTATATCTATCGCTATTTGATGTCGTTCTTAAATAACTTGCCAATTCCGTTGCAACGTCAACGGCGATAGGTATAATATCTTTGACGAAATCTTCCAACAATACTTCCATAACGCTTGTCATTTCTTCTATTTCAGCTCGAGCCACAAGTCGCAGTACTTCGATGATGACCGCATGAACATGAGGCTTTAATACTGAACGATCTAAAATTATGGATTTAATACATGCTATTTTTTTGAATCATGGAAACTAAGGAAAGTGAAACTTGTTTTACACCAAGTATTTGCATCGCAAAAAATCTTTATATTTCTGTCATAGTGCACATGAAAATTAAGAAATATACATTTTGTTTGTGCTTCCAACATATGCTGTATAGCAATTGCAGCTTCCACTTTCACAGGTAATTCCTCGCCAGCATCAGCTAGTCTTTTTACCAACTCTTCATAAATATGTGTTATCCGATCCCCAGAGAGCTTACCACTGGCAAACTGCTGTAAATAATCTCTATTATGCAAAATCATTGCAAAGGGCAAGCCAAAGCTTGCAATCAATAAGAGGGCGAAAAAGGTATACCCTTATAGTCCAGCACGCTCGGGAACGTATGAATCGTATTGGATGAGCAATTCTCGAAATTACAAATCTCTCAACTAATTCATCAACAGCACTACTATACTTCTGAAAAGTAATTTCTTTTTTGTTTGAGTTCAAATGTAAAAAAAGAAGTCAAATATAAATAAATATAAATATTATGTACTGATATGAGAAACTACTAATATGTTTAACGCGAACTATTAATTGATAGTGTTCATCACTTAAGGCATGAAAAAATAAGAAAAAAAACGAAACCTTGTTTTTCGTTAAAGCAACAAAAAGTTCTCCCAGAATGCGCAAGGCCCCTTCTTGATCGCGTGGATTTACATCTGGATTACTAAGCATGGTTAACGCAAACTCCAATATGGGTTGCAACATATCTTTCCTCTTTGCAAAACTAGTTAGCACGCTTGCTGCTGCAACTGTCGGATTGTGCAACTCATCGTATACATCTGCAACAGTACATTTTATTTTTTTTAAAATTGATTTTGATTTAATAAGCAAACAGCAAAGTGTCTTGATTATTCGCATCTTTTTCACTTCAAAATTTTAGTTTTCACTTCAACATTAAATAATTATTTAAGGAATAAATCTTTGATCAAATGCCTTATGCTACGCATTATTATCTCTACGTAATAAAATAAAACATTTTTCCAAATAATCGCATAAAAGTGTACCGTATTTCATGCGAACAAATTCTTCTGGTGAGTCGCTCCACAATTCCTCATCTTCATTGGAATATTTCATTAATGGAAAGAGCACGCTACGCACAATTCCCTAAACACGTAGGCAAAATTGGTCCAAACTATTTTCTTTGAAGATTTGAAATCTTTTTGCCTATACATATAACGAAAATATAATACATGACATATAAATGTTAGAGCTTATGACCACAGAAGAGACCACAACCTAAAAAGTTTATCAAGACCACAAATACCTGAAAGTGAGGCTTGATGATTTTCCAAGTCCGCGACTGTGAAATGGCTATATCGATGTATTGCAGTAGTGAATGTAACACTCGAGATGACACATAATTCCCATTTCTATAACCATCCAGAACTTGCAAACATGTGTTCAGAATTGGAATTGCAAAGTGTGTCATATAATTTTCCGCAAATTCCGAATAATTCAGTTGCACTTGTCCTGGGGATCCATACCTGAAAAACAAGCACGTACACTAAATGTGCTACCAGAAAAGTAGTCGTATCAAAGCATTTAAAATTTTTAACTAATATGCTTTAAAGTTAAATATGTACTTGGCAACAGCTGTAGAATAAGGCTGCTCTCGAAGAGAAAGACCCCGAAATTCGAACGTTCAAAGCAAGAACAAAAACCCAAGCAAGCTTTGTTTTAATTTGATCTATATTTAGTAAAGCATATGTCGATATTCAGCTCCATTTCTGTTAATCAGATGAGTATCACATTTAGAAAACCCATTGTTCTTATTTCTTTGAACTGTCAGCAAACTGAAAATGGAAGACAAACATGAGAAATAACCTTTCAAAAATACGCTCAACAATTGCTGAGGCCCATTTTTTACATTTCCACCACACTGTTCTTTCACGATCATCTTCATCAACCGTGTTCACTTCTTCCGGTACAGCTCTCCCAATGATTAGTCGAAATTGCTCTAACCACTGTGTCAAGGACTGACTAGTAAACATTTCCAAATTCAAGGAAAACTATAATAAAACGTATGATCATAATAAATAAGACGTACTTGAAAAGATAAAATAACATCAAAACCTGCTGGCTGGTACCCTTCAAACTTCAATTATATACCTGAACAAGCCCATAAAAGTACCCTTCAAACTTCAATTATATACCTGAACAAGCCCATAAAATATTTTCAGAATAAGCTTTTGAAGCAAGCAAGATTCTTGGGAAGCATCGGGCATCAGAGTGATGAGACGTTCAAGAAGCATTGGCATCAGCAGGCTCATTGTTTCTACTAACGGTTTTTTCTCTTTCACTCGGCGATATCTGGAAAATTTTAGACATCAATGCAACTTGTCTCATAGAAATCTACAAACAATTAGGTGGATTTAAATATATAAATTATGATTCCTAATAGCTGACAGATATTTCAAATTACTACCATCAAATCCATACCATATTGTAGGAAATTTCAATGAAACGTCTACAAATAAAACTTACTCATAGAGTTTCACTAAACGTCGTATAACCAAAAGAGCTCCTAGCCAAGATGGTCCATCCACTGAATGTAATAAAACTGCAACTTTTTGAGGCAAATGTGGCCAATTTTTTGGAAAGTCATGCCTCGTGATTATTCCAACTGCAGTGCATAATTGAACTCTAAATGAACATCATATGATAAATCATGATAACCTCTAAATCTTTTAAAAATATTTTAAACGAACAACTTTTACACATCCGATAAATATACACCTGACAGCTTCGGGTGAAGCTACAATGGCATCTATGATAAGCTCACGAATAAGATGTTTATCTTGTTCAGGAAGACCGAATGATTGTTTATCATCTTTATCCATGATCCAGTGTCTGAAATGTTTAGTTAAAATGATCAGCCTTCCCCAAGTGTGATTAGTTTTTCGCCAATTTCAATCAGAAATTGATGAATTGATGCCAGCATTTCATTCCACAACATAAAAAATTCCTCAGAATCCCTACCCCAATAATAAATATCCAATCAAATTAAGCAAAAACCCCTAATCAGGATCAACCATACAAAGTCCATCATGAGACTATTATCATAAAATCGAAGACTCTGTAATTAGTCAGCTAATTTTGTTAAGTTGCATTCCATAATATATATTCTCTGAAATTAGCAGCTTCCCAGTGCAAAAAAAAAAAAAATTTTCCAACCTAATTTATCTCACCACAAACAAATACCTGTTAATGACATTCTTCAAATAAATAACAGCTGCTTGACGAGCAGAACAGTCAACTCTCTCATCCATAATGATATGAAGTAAAAGAGGAGTAAAGCCTACTAATCGCATATTCTGAAAAATTACACAGCGTTAGTAGCTCAGATGATCGATTCCTTTTTTCCAAATTATATTTCAATTTAATTATTTTAATTAAGCAATTACAGCATTTTAAAATAACTCGGAACAAATGGGTCACAATGCATTATTAAGTTAAAAACCTGAAGTGATATTGATATGATTAATAACTGTCAAATTGTTTTTACAATAACTTAATATAAAATAACATTTTTTAATTTATACCATTCAACCTCCATTTTGAATATGCTATAATATAGCGATGAAGCATATGAGCACAGTGTTACTCGAGACATTATACCTGTTCAAGATATGCAGCTGCCTCTTTCTGATTTATTGAAGAAGTAGTAGCCTGCAGCGCTCTAATTAAATTTTCCCTTTCCATCTTTGGATCAGTTTCTGAAGCGTCCCAACGTAATCGTTCAAACATACAAAACCTGTAAAAAAGCAAGTATACTTTATATCATGAGGTATTTATTGTCCTACAAACACAGACTACGACATGTCTTCCTATAAACATTCAAGCATGCATTATTTTATAAATTTAAAAATATATATTATCTCGTAACGTTGCACTTTCCCAGCAAGACTGAGGCCAATAGTGATAACCATTGCCTTTGCAATAAGGCACTTGTCAAAAGATTATGCTGTCACTAATTATGAGCTGATACTGCATACATCGTAGCTTGAAATCTTTCACCGATTTTCAACTTCTATTTACTATCACAACGAGTACACATTGTTCTATATATAGCATAAACTAATTCTGTCTTTTCATCTACCTGAAATTCTCGACCAAGTGAAGATCACCTTAAAACACCTCGGCTAAGTCTATCAAGAGCGAATAAATCCGCCGCAGCAGCATCGTAACAGTCCTAAACTCGCGAAATATTTTCCATTACAAATATTTAACGCAGCCTTCCAAGCGATCTTTGTCCCAGTCTGAACTGTGCGAAATTCGCTCCGTTGGTATAAATTCCGTAAATTGTTTTCTTCTTTTTCTTACAGAGTTAAATTTTCTTTTTTAAAAAGCTGAAAGCTTATTTTGGATGAGAAATGTATTTGGCATCGAATGTTAAGGACTGATTGTGGAGGGATAACAGAGATTGATAAGAATTACATGAAAAGAATTAACTTATAAAATAGAAAGTGTTAGAGTTGCACGATAGGATTTTTTTTTTCTTTTTCAATTAACAAAAATTAGTCTTGCAACAAAAGTCGTAAAATATTAACTTTAGTTTTTGCACATACTGAGTATTATTTTTTGGTAGCAATTTGTCTTTCATTTATTTTTTTCATTTGCAGAATTCATTATTTCACGTTTGAAACAGCAATGGCAGATGAAGTGAAAGAATTGCCAGAAAAATTTATAGGAGCTTTTAAGCTCGATCGCAGCGAAAACTTCGAAGAATTTTTGGCCTCCAAAGGCATAATTTGACTAATTTTTTTCTTTTCGTATTCTGCTAATTTTCAAGATTTGAGATCAAGAAAAAAGTATTTATTAAACTTATTAAATAAATGGATTTACTAACTGATTTTTTTTCGTGCTTGATTTTCTAATGTTGTATCTTAATGGTATACTTCTTGGAATGCATATATCTGCAACATTGTTTAGTAGCTTGAAGTATGGATTTTTCAGGTATAAATTGGTTTTTAAGAAAAATGATTTCGTTTGCATCTATTACTAAAGTATTCAGCCATTCCGATGAAATCAAAGATGCCTATAATTTATGCAATCAATCGTCTAAGAAAGATACTATTTACAAGAACTGGAAACTAAAAGAGGAATTTCAGGCTGAAGGATTCGATGGCAAAATGCACAAAGTATATCAAATACTTCAAATTACTGTAAAAGATGAAAAGTAACAGATGAAAAGCTTTTTGTTTTAAGATAATGCTTAATAGTAAGTTAAAGATTTTTTGCATTGATTCATTGAGAAGCAATATTTTTACTTATTGATGCTATATATTGAGTACTTGCTTTAAGTTTATGGAGAATCTGAAACTCGATAAGTTTTTTAAATACTTTTCTGATCTTTGGACTTTCTTTATTTTATACTTTTTTAGAATTGCAGCTCAGTAAATTTTTGATAGATAATTCCAGATCAAGTTCGATTTTGATCCAGTAACAGAAAGTTTAAAAGAGACACATATCCGAGCAGACGACCTAAACGATCGTGGAGAAACGTACACTTATACTGTTGATGGTGATATCTTATTATTGGTAAGTGTTGATTTACTGAATTTTTCGTTTCTTCGTTTCTGTATTATTACTGTTTTCTTTCACATTATTTTAATCTTTTTCAGTGGCGGGCAAAGTGTCGATTGTCTTATACACCATCATGATGCAAAAATTTGCATAATTTGCATTAAAATTTACTGAATTACGAACCTTAAATCATATCATCCCTTATTAATATTCAACATCTCGAAAATGCTGAGGTTTAGGGAGAATCCTAGCATTTCAGCTTTCATTATATTTTATGCATAATATCAACTTTGTAAGTTATGAAAAGTATTAAAATGGTTTAAATGTGTTGAAAATTATTGTGGTTTTGAAATATATCCAGTTGCCATTGTGCCATCGCTATAAACTGTTATGCTGCTAATAAGAAAAGATAATTTGTATTCAGTATATTATATGTCATCCATGTTTCGGCTGTTACATTTTTTTTTCCAGAGTATGGCAAATGAAAAAGTATCCTGCAAGCGGTACTTCGTTCGACAATCGTCTGGGCAACAGCAATGATCTTCCTAGGTTGGTAATGATTCATAGAGCAAAGAAGATAAACGATGAATATCACACATTCAATTTCCTCTTTTTTTCACTTTCCTGCAAGTAAGGAAAGTTTTTTAGACAAAATTCTTTCTAACTTACTGTTTTTCATTTGCGTACATATTTATTTGTCCTCTGTATTTTCTAAATATCTATTTTACACTTTCCATCTTATAAAGATGAAGAATTTGTTATAATTTTAACCACTCAAATTTTTTATTTTAACTTTTTACTTGTCTGATTTTGTGAAATAATTTATATTATTTTGTGTATTTTATATATAATATTCTAATATTCAAGTGTATATAAAAGAATAAAAGATTGCTTACCATTCAAGTTTGTACATGCATAATTCTCTTGATTATTTTTTTACTGTTACAATCCCTAGCATGATTAATCAGTAATACATAATTAAACCTTCTCTCATGAAAAAAGATGATATATAATTAAACCTTCTCTCATGAAAAAAGATGATATATAATTAAACCTTCTCTCATGAAAAAAAAGATGATACATTTGCTTTCCAATTTCTGTTCATTCTATTTATTGAGGAGATGAATAAAATCATTGGAATCAATGCAAAATTTTTTTTATTGAATTTGTTGTCACTCATGAAAATTGAAATCAATGCAAAATTTTT